AGGACAGGAAGGCCTGGCGCAATATGGTTCATGGGGTCACGAAGAGTCAGACACGACTTAACGACTAAACAACAACAAAGCATATTATAGATACTGACTGAGAGAAAAGGGGACCTCACCTTTATCAGGTCTAGCCATTTGATTACAATCTTATTTCTATTCAAAAAGAGTAAATATCATATTATGGCCCTTGGAAATGTGCTTCAGGGGCCACAAAATTATCAGATTTCTCTTTCTAAATCAGAGAAAGGGCTTCAACCACAGAAGGTTAGATGCAAGTTCAGATGTATCCAAAGTAATGTAGAACATAATGGCTATCCTTGAGAGACATTTATTTGTACCTTTTCATATCTTGTGATGAAAGGATAAATGGGATAGCAAATTCTATTCTTGCTTTACTTCTGTCTTCCAACAGGACTGTCTCAGGACCTGGATATAACCATGTGCTCCATAAAATTGGAAAATAACTACAATATGAATGTTTAAGAATAAACTAATAATTATTTTTAAACATACCTTGAAATTTTCTGCTATCAAACTGTACAGTTTTGTTGCATTTCCTGAATCACATGCAGTGTTTGACATTATTATTTCTAAGGGTGTTAAAATTCTGAGTTTGGTGATAACCTAAAAAACACACAACACAATTTAGTAAAAAGGTGTATTTGAATAGTGTTCAGAACACATTAAGTATTAGTTTTTTTTAAAAAAAACTTTATTGTAATCATTTATATGATGCCAGTAAAATAAGTAAACACATTTCTGCATCTAAACTTAGACACTGGGAGGCAATGTAGGAAAGACTGAGGCAAAAATAGCTTTCATTCAATTATACATACAGTATATAAACTATGTTTTCCTCAGATAGGTGAGAGCATCCAGCCAAGTTTGGCCAATCCCAAAATGCTAAGCAGGCTTTAACTTAGTAATGGTGGAAGATCACCAGAAAATGCTAGGACTGTAGGCTAAACTGGGAAAAAATATTTTGGAAGAAAGCAATGGCAAACATTTCTATGTGATGAAAACTATATTTCTACCAAAACCTTCATAAAATGTGGTTGTTGTGCTCCCATTCGCTACAACCCGGGATCAGTGTTTCAGCTTTCTCTGTCATGCAATACTACAGTAAAACCTTTATATATCTTCCATCAAGTAAAATAAGTTTTGCTTATTATTGAGACAACAGCAAGAAAAGTAGCATGGTCCCATCACTTAGTTGGAGGAACAACTCCTCTTGCCCTGGACTGTGGATTTAAAGCAGTGGCAGATCTCAGCCCTTCATGCTGGAATGATGTCTCCACTATCTATCTTTCTGTGACTAGAGGCATGCTACTTCAATACACAATGGACTCTGGTTTCATTCATGGTAAGTTTCCATACAGCCTGGAACCTCAAATGTTCTCTTTCTTTGTTGGCTTATAGACTATTCCAATAGCTAACAACAGTGAATGGCATACACCTCACCTCCTAAGTCACATTAAAACAATACAATAAAAAACAAAACATATGTTATAATCAATACACATATAATATTAATAATATTAATTAAAATATTCTTTAACTAAAAATAAATATTTCCCTGACAGAGGTAAGGTCACAGGATTCTGGATGGCATAACCATGTTATAATGACCTTCCTAAAAAGTGGATAACTGGGAAGAAGCTGTTATACAGAAAGGGGGCAGCAACTGAGAAGACTAATTTCTCTGGTCCCTGTAGGTGGCCTTCCCCGAACAAAGGGATATGGAGGGAGCCCATTGTACCAGATCTTGTTGAATGAGCAGACACTATTGGACTACTATCTTCTATGACTATGACTTGTTATTACTACTGGTAAACTGTTATATATAAATATAACAGTATGTTTATTTGTATTTAGCACTTATAGTTTTATCATGATTTTGCAATCAACTAAGTCCAATCATAATGTCAATAAAAAACAATCAGAAAAATTTAGAATTCTAATGAAATTAGCCAGGACGATGGCTACACATAATTCTGCTGACTTCAGTGCAAAGATCTTAGCAGTTTATATAATAAAGAGGAATATTCAGATTTTACCTTGGTATATGTTGTATTATCAGCAAACTGAGATAGCACTACTTCTGGATTTCTTAGGTCAATACTTGCCATTCCCACTTCACCTCTAGCAAGTCCTCTCCCTTCTATTACAGCCACAATAACAGATGCAATACTGTGAGTGGAGACTGCTGAAGATGATGTTACTGTGAAAGATACATTTAGAGTTCTGACTTAGTCTACCAAGATCTGCTCTGAAAAGCTTTACAAAAATAAATGGTGTTTATAATGAGTGGCAGCTAGTGATTTTCACTGGTATTTAAAGTATGCAATTGTCCTAGAAACACCACAACTCTTAAAATTTTGGCATACTGGCCAAAATGTACCAATAAAAAATCAACTACATCCTTCAGAAATTGAACAAACAAATAAATGATAGGAAACAACTGAATTTGAATTCTGTTTTCCCTCAGTGGAATTATATTATTAAATTTAGTACTTCAGGTCTAAATTTACATTTAGTACTTCAGATTTAAATTTACATTTTGGGGGTCTTTTTCCTCTGGTTGGAAGAATACAGTCTTTCTGTCTGGAATGTGCTTATCTTCTCATAATTTCATCAGGCTGTTATCAGTTTATGAAAAACAAACATAGCCCCAAAACGTAATTATATTCTTCATGTGGTTGCTTTCTGAATTACCATGCAGGATTAGAGTCTGTTTTTCAAGCAATGCACATCTTCTCTTATTTTTCCAGTGCTCTTTAAACATGGTTCTTTATATTGAGCTATCAACTTCCTGTCAATTGATTTCACAAATGCTAGGCCAATGTTTGGGTCTTACAACTTAACTGCATGTTTATGTTGCTACGATCATTAGGATGGAAGTTAAAAAAAAAACATTTGGGATATTTGTTGGAAGTTGCTTTTTGTTTACATGGGATTTAAACATAAACATTCCCAATTGCTTGAAAAATACTATATCACAATGTTTTTCAGAAATTTCATTTGTTTAATTATAATTGTTTTATAACTCAGACTATCTCTGTAATATGAAATTGAATGTTAGTAAAATATGTTCAATTCAAACCTATTCATTTTGCACATAATACATATAATTACCTAGCTGTGCCTAAAGGGAGGTAAGTGGAAGAAAACTGGATTGTTCTGCACTCTTGGCTAATTAAATATTATCTTGCATGGGAAATGTTCCCATTCTAGGATCAGAAAAAAAGAAATGATAGGATCCCACTCATTTACTGAAATCCCTTGCCTACTGGTGTACCTTGCAAAGAGTTGCAAATGGAAAAGCAACCCCACTCACTTCATTACACACAGGGTGGGCAAATCACAGGCCCTCAGCCCTCCATCTGCAGCCCCATCAGCTCCACAAATATCATAACTGCTGATATTAAGTGGCAAAATGGCCCCTCTTCAGCAGTGTGCTTTTTAAAAAGTTTCTTTTTTTAATAAAAAAAGAAGGTAAACTATTCCCATCTCAATCCTCTCCCTGCATGCCTGTAGATTGTGTTGCTGAAATGTGGTTACTGAAATGGTTTTGAGAGTTTGGAGAGTTGTAAGGGTGGAAATGGGAACATTTTGCTCCCAGATGCATGCTCTAAAGATCTCCCGTTCCAGTTCATACACTTAAATTCCCCCAAACCAGCTAAAAGGAGGTAAAAATATCACTGGAAGGTGTCAGGGGAAAATAACCATCCATGCATTACACCTGTTATTTTGGAAGTTAGTGAAACAAAGCTACTGAAAAATGAGATACAGTAGTAGGTTATATATATTCAGCAAACTCCCCAGATAAGCAGAAATTTATTAGTTTGTAAATTAAAATAAAAATATAATGACATGCACTTTAAGATAATTTAGTTCAAGGAAATTCATGAGAAATATGTGGCCAAATATATTCACATGGGAAACTCACAAGCAGCTCATTTGGGAAAAAGCCTCTTTCATTAATCTTTCACAGTAACTGGTATTTAGAGGGATGCTGGCTCTTATCCACTGTATAAAATATAATGATCATTACTAGTATTCCTACCTAGCCTTAACCTTTATAAATATACATAATCCTTTTAACGTTGTTTAAATTGGTGATCACCACTAGGGTTACTACCTTTAGCTGCAACAATCCAGATGACTGATAAATGGCAGTAAAAAGCTAGAATCTTTGCTTCCATCTAGTGGCCACTTGGATTTTTGCAATCCAGAAATTGTAGCTCCACCTACTAGAAGCTCTAACTTCTATTGCTCCTTTGTGTTCAATTTCCCTGACTGCTGTGGTGCTTTATCTCTACAACCAGCTTTTCTCTGTCTTGTCAGTGTACAAAGAGATCTGCAAGTGATAGCTCTTGAAAAAACATGTTACATGCTAAGTACTGTAGAAATTTATTCACTTACTTAATGCGTTAATATATTGCTTCATATACTGAACCATCTTGAGACAGCAATAAAATTTTATCCTCAAAGTGCCTCACAAATCTAGCACAGCAAGTCTTTGAGGGTTCCAGGACTGGTTTTCTGAGACAGACTTCAATAAGCCTTTTACCATTCTAAAGAAGTCAGGTGGATGATTACTTGAGGATGCAACGGACACCACAAAGTAAACCTTCTTTGCATCAGTCACCACTACACAGTAGACATGATTATATGTTCTAAGGTGTGTCCAGTAAGCATCATGGAAGTCTGATACCACTTCATCTCTAGCTGTCTCCTGGTCTGTTCCCCTGCATCAAGATCCCTAAAGAGCCAAGTTTAGGGTGCTCACTCTGACATCTATATAAATATCATAAAGAGATTAGCCTGTAACCACCTTGAAAACATGGATTTGGCAAGAAAAATCTTGTCAGATTAACCTGATTTATTATATCTTCCTTAATAGATTATACCTTCCTTAATAGATTTGGGGAAAGTTCTGGAAGTAACATATGATAATATGTATGTCAGCAAAGCATCTGACAAAGTACTCATGATATGCTTATTTGCAAGATTAAGTGTGGGCTGGGTGGCATAACTATTAAGCGGAGGCTAGACTTTAATCTGTCTGCAATACTTTTAAGTGGGATTCCTGCACTAAGCAGGAATTGGACATGATAATCTAAATGACCCCTTCCATATCTATGATTCTACATAGGCATTTGTTGAGTCTGAACATGGAATTTGTACAAATTATATATGAAATAAGATAATTTTTTTTTAAATCATCACCTAGTATTTTCAAATATGTACATCTGAGAAGTCTCTAAAATTTTACTTCTGAAACACTGGCTTGAATTCCAAGCAGAAGATATTCCATTTCAATTTCTTCTCCTTTCCTGCAGGCTCTGTAATTTATAGTTGTTTAATACCATAACTAACATTAGATTTCTAGCTCTTTCAATAATATTACTTTTAAAATTCTAGTGTAATTTTACACTGCCCTCTGCTGTCCAGTTAAACAACTACATAAACAGAAGAAAAAACACAATATCGATTATAACAGTATCAAATATCATGCAAATTATTAATAAATCTAAGCTAAGACTTGTAAACTATCTCCAATATGTGCTTCCCTAGTTGTTTGAAATAACTTAACAAGAAAAAAAGGACTTTTAGAAAGAAAAAATGATTTTTATACAGGAATTTGTAAACTCTATGATTATTTAATGATTACATGTCTTTACACCATCCTTCTCCATGCTAGTGACATTTGTGGGAACATAGTGGGAATTACAGTTAACACATATAAAGGGCAGAAGTTGAGGAAGGCTGCTTTATATAGTACTGTCAGTTTGGAAGCCTTTCTCTGTATTTTTGCCAATTTGAACTGGTGAGTTTATGTCATGTAGTTATTTCAAAAAGTAATCTAACAACTGACTGGCCCATACTTCAAAGCCTCCTATAATTAAGGAAACTTCTGGAAAAAAATAGAGAACTAAGTGTCCAACCCTATTGTAAGAAGAGAGTATAATAAGAACAATTTGGGCCAATTATTACATCCATCTAATAGGTTGTATTATAGTCTTCCTCAATTGGTGAATTGTAGTTCAGCATATCTGAAGGGCACCAGATTGTACAGCAATTTAATGGGAACACTGATATTCTCAATGTCCTAACAAGGACATTCAGATTAGGCTTGGACCTTTGGTAGCATGCTTTATTTATGGGTGTAGCTAGGCTGAAATGGGCTCTTGGCAAAGAAAGCAAAATGAGATCATCATACTATGCAGACTGACACCAAGAGAATATATAGAGTGCAGTCATAACTTAAACAATACAAAGCTCAGCAGTTAATCAAACTGTTTTTTTTTATTTTTAAATGCAGACTTGTGACTCAGCATGCACTCAATATAATAATAGTAATAGTAATTACTAGTAATAGTAATAGTAATTTTAATAGTAATAAAACATTGTGTCCGTAAGTCAAGCCAAATCCTGATAAATTAGAAACAGCAACAGCACTAGATTCCCTTCTATGCAGGCAGGCAATGCTACACAGAAGTTCTTCTCCCTCTTCTTCTGCTTGAGCTGTGTTGACTGCTATCCAGAGCATCCACACTGCATGGATCCACGCTGCATCCAGCACAACTTTGTACAAACCATATGGGTCAGTAATCAGGGCCCAGAAACATTATCCTTGTTGTTTGCAAGTAGGGATCATGGGAGTAGAGTTGTAAAGGGTTACTGAAACATTTTTCTTCCATGACTTTTCATCTGCAAATATAGTGACTATCTTCAGAAAGTTCCGTTTTCTGGCATGGTCATTCTTAATTGAGAGTACTAAAAAGCCACTTATTCTTGCGGCACGTTGCTTTGCATTGTTTTTTTACAAGTTTAAGTTTAAGAATTACCTATATGCAGCTGCTATTATAACAGGTATGGTTTTTAAAAAGCAGACATTCAGGGAAAACTTCAATAACTTTTGATGACCGAGCATGGTTTTCTATCCAAAGACGTTCTGCCATTTCCTTTATTTGTGATTTTTTAAAGCAGTATCAGATTACAGTAACAATCTGAATGAGAGCAATTTCCATGGAAATGCATCCAACATCATTATTGTATTTCTTGGCCATAGGTTCTCCAGGTCTGTATACAAGATGTTGACATCAGTTGCTGATATCATGGTTGATGGCTACAGGGCATAAAATGCAGAGACTATTTTATTCAAGCATGAAAATCTATGCCCAGTCAGGTACAGTAAATGTTCTCTGAAGATGT